GGTCTTTATGTTGTAAATATTTGTAGCAGACCTTAAGGGTCTGGTATGACTTTTGGGGGGAACCCCACCCATTTTTTTCAAATTTGGTCCCTCCTAACATTCCTACCAGACTTAAAGTGTTGGTATTGTTTGGGAGGGGGTACTGCACGCTTTAAGAATTAAAAAAAAATATATTTTTTTTTTCTTCAGAAATGTCAGTTTTGCTGCAGCAGGTTCTATACATCGTACAGATCTGCCACTTTACAGGCAGATTAAGTTAACCCCCCAGGCACAATATTTAACCACTTCCCGGCCGGCCGTTGTAAAAAAATGGCCGGCCAGGAGCTCTCTAGATCTGAGCGGGAGTCTTTAGACGTTAGCTCAGCCATGCCGCTGGACGGGCGCGAGTGGGAAATAACCATTATTTGAAAACAGGCAGCGATGCCCGTTAATATACAAGTGATCCGCCGGCTATAGAGCCAACGGATCGCTTGTATGAGGTCCCGTGATGTGCGCCCCCCCTCCCCGGCTCCCCCCTCCCGCTGTCAAGCTGGTCCCGGGCTCCCGCTGTGCCCAGTGCGAGCCCAGGACCAGCATACGGCCTCTGTCACAGGGGATCAGAGGAAGCTCGGTACACGAGCTCCCTCCGGTCCCCTCTCCGCTGTCAGAATGAGGAAGTGATGTATATTACATCACTTCCGCATTCTTGTGTCACTCTCCAGCTTCAGATGCTGGAGAGAATCTGAGAAGCTGATGAAGCAGATCTCTGCCTAATCAGCTTCTTCAGGGGGGTCCTAGGTGACATTAGGGGTCTTGGAGACCCCTGATGTCTCCATAAAGATGACCTGTCACATATTTTGCTATCACATAAGGGGGTTTTCTAACCCCCCTATGTGATAGCAATAAAGTTAAGTGGAAAAAAAAATAGGATAAAAAAAATTAAGTCCCTCCCCCAAAAATGTAAAGTTACAAATAAAAAATAATTAAATGAATATTATTAGACCCCCTTTCTGGCCGGGCCATTTTTCAGTATTCAGTGCTGCAGTACTTTGACTGACATTTATTCCGTCATGCAATGCTGTACTGAAATGAATTTTATACCATTTTTTGGGGACAGATAGAGCTTTCTTTTGGTGGTATTTAATCACCACTGGGGGTTTTATTTTTTACTATATTCAGGAGAAATGACTGAAAATTTTGAAAAATAAAAGTTTTTTTTTACATTATGTTATAAACTAACTAATATTACCCACTTTTTTTGTAAAATAAAAAAGACGGGGTCACGTCGGGTTAATAGACACCAAACATGTCAAGCTTAAAAATTGTGCGCACTCGCAAAATCGTAAAAAACTAGCATACCCAAAATTGCCCATAGGCGACGCTTTAAAAGCTTTTACCGCTCATCAGTTTAGTGTTATCAGTGATTGATAGCCCTAAAATTATTGCTCTCACTGCGACGTTCGCGGCGATATGTAACATGTGCGGCGTAATGTGCGCAATCACCGTTTTCGCTGGTATGCGCACCTGGGGACTTTTTAAAAACATTTTTTTTTATTATTTTTTATGTGTAACTTAAAAACAAATTTTGGGGAAACTTTAATTTTTTTCCCTATTTGTTTTCACTTAACTTTATTGCTATCACAGAGGGGGCTAAGAAACCCCTATATGTGATAGCAAAAAAAGTGACAGGTCCTCTTTATGGAGACATCACGGGTCTCCAAGACCCCTAATGTCACCTAGGACCCCCCTGAAGAAGCTGATGAAGCAGAGATCTGATTCATCAGCTTCTCTCCAGCATCTGAAGCTGGAGTGTGACATGAGAATGCGGAAGTGATGTAATATACACCACTTCCACATTCTGACAGTGGAGAGGGGACCGGAGGGAGTTCGTGAACTGACCTCCCTCTAATCCCCTGTCAGAGAGCCACTATGCTGGTCCTGGGCTCGCACCAGGCACAGCGGAGCCCGGGATCAGCGTGACAGCAGGAGGGGGGGGGAGCCGCGGAGGGGGCGCACATACCGGGACCCCATACAAGCGATCCACCGGCTCTATACCCGGCGGATCGCTTGTATGTTAACACGCATCGCTGCCGTTTTTTAAATTATATGTCTTTCCCGCTCGCACGCGCCACGTGGCGTGCACGAGTGGGCGGGACTAACAGGACGTGTATACATGCCCAGTTACCTCCAAGAAGCTCCTGCCCGGCAGTGTATACACAACAGCCGGCCGGGAGGTAGTTAAAAACTGTATTTTTTTAAAGTTTTTTTTTCACTGATTCCTGTCCTCCTTAGGTGGACATAAGGAGGCTTCCGGGGGTACATATTATCCCCAGTGTTTGTGGGTGGGAAGGGATTACTGAGAATGCTGTAGTCTTCAGTGACACTAAGGGCTCAAAAGCTCATTCATGCTGAAATGTCTACACAAGTACCCCAGAAATCAGACCATGAAGAACAGGGACCACTACTCGGTGGCTACCCTTTTGGAAATCGCTACAAGGTGAAAAAGGCAGATCTTGTGTTACTATCCTAGAGGGAGTAGAAATTCCACTACTTAGAAGAACCATATGGCCACATTTCCATATAGTGGCAGGATTCCTTCCCATGACCAACATGCCTCCCATCCTCGAATCCTGCTACCTGTTCTGGACTGCCACTATTAAAAGCTCCTGACAGCTTTGCTGGCCTGCCACCACTACCCTCTCCTGGGGCCTTTGTTGGCATGCCATCATTACTAGCTCCTACCATCTCTGTTGGACTGCCACTTCTGTTTACCACCATTACCAATTGCTGCAATCTCTGCTGGCCTGCCACCATTACAGACTCCTGAGGCCTCTGCTGGCCTGCCACTATTACTAGCCCCTACTATCTCTTCAATCCTGCTACTGCCACCATTTCCAAAAACTGCAATCAATTTTGGTCTACCGCCATTAAAAGCTCCTGCCAACTCTGCTGGACTACCACCATTCCCATCTCCTGCCACCTCTCTTGGCTAGCCACAATTAGCAGCTACTTCTACATCTGCTGACATGCCACCATTACCAGCTCCTGGCACCTGTACTAGTCTAACACTATTACCAATACCTGCAGTCTCTCCTGCCCTATTCTGCTGCTCTAGCACTGTATAGGTGCTAACCATATTGCTTCCACAGCCTGGGGTGCAATGTGTGAAATATTTTGATGCAGGATAAATCATGCTCTGTGTCTCCCAGTTTAGGCCCATTCAAAAAAATGTGTGGCTATTGTGTCTCTAATACATTATGATGTTTATTACAAGATAAAAAAACTACCTTGCCCCTTCCTCTTAGATCTTAATCTAATTCACCTGCTTACATACTCTCCAGAAAAATGCACACAATGTGTGGCTACTGTCTCTGAAATGATATTCTCCCATTTTTTATTTCATGATATAACCTCTATCATGTCTCCGTTTTACAATGCACCCGAATAAAGTTGCTTACATCCTCTGTATTGACCACAATATTTGTGATTATTGTCTCTGAAATAACATACTCTAACTTTTATTTCCTGATAAAACCTTCCCCTTCTCTCCCTCTTTAACTGAAACCGAATAAAGCTGCTTACGTACTGCACAGCTACTGTACAATATTTGAAACGCACTCTAATTTGTTAATGATAAAACCTGCCTGCTTACATATCCTGCAGTGACTGTACAACATTTGTGGAAATTGTCACTAAAATAATACACTTTGATATTATTTCGTATTAAAATCTGCCTCATCTCTTCCTCTTAAATTGCAGCCTAAAAAAGCTGTTTATATCCTCTACTCTGCATAAACTGTACAATATTTGTGGATAGGGTCTCTGAAGTAATCCACTCCAATTGTTACCTCTTGGCAAAACCTACCTCATCCCTCCCTCCTAAATTATGGCCTAATCAAGCTGCTTACTTAATAAGCATTGACTGTACAATATTTCTGGCTGTTATTTCTGAAATAATAGACTCTATTTTTTTTTACATTCATTAACTGTACAATATTTGTGAGTATTGCCTCTAAAAGACTCTCTACACTTATAGTTATTTCTTTATAAAATCTGCATTTTTATCAAATACGGCTGCTTATATACGAAACATTGACTTTACAATATTTCTGAATACTGTGTCTGAAATAACACACTGTAATTTGATAAAACCTGTCCAGTTTCTCCCTCTTACATTTTCTTACATTGCATCCTAATAAATCTGCTAATATATTGTGCAATGACTGGACTTCTCTCTGAAAATATACACTTTAATTTTTTTTTCCTGCCAAAAATCAGCATTGTCTCTACCTTTTACACTGCAGCCTATTTAGTTAATGTACATACTGTACAGCAACTGTGCTATACTTATGGCTATTGTTTTTGAAATGCTATGCTATATTTTTTATTTCATAATAAAATCTGTCTTGCCTCTTCCTCTCTCATTGAGGCCTAATCACATTCTGTGCAGCTACAGTATTCACAGTATACAGTACACTCTAATTATTATTTCTTGATAAATCCTGCCTGGTCCCTCTAGCCCTGTACAATATTTCCTTGTCTTTTGATATGATTTTACATTGGTGACATGTCTGTGCTTGATTCTTAGGACAGGAAAAATGAAAACAATTAAAAGACAAACCAAGCTGTTATTATAATATCACATTGTATTTTAGACTTTATTTTTATAAATGCACATTATAACATTTTGATTGTATGTATTTACCAGTGGAAAAAATATTCTAACGATTACAGTAACATATCAAATAATAAAATGCATCTATAGGTAAAGTTCTCACAGTGTTATCCTTAACCAAAGCTACTGTATGTATAATTGTAAATTGGTTTAATCTTAACTTGGCTAAGAGTTGCATTTTAGCATTTTAACTCAAAAAATATAGCCAGTTTTGGATATTTAATGTAGTAGTCTGATATAAAGTGTGATATTATATATGCAAAAATGATATTATATATGCAAAAACATATATCTTTTAAAGAGTAAGTATAGCATACTTGATAAAAACACTGGCTGAAGTAACAGCCCATTAACCAAGGATGCTTTTTACATACTGGCAGTTCATTCTGTGAACACACAAGCTGCGCTCCTACAGGAGCATTGCAGGATATCAGTGAAAGTATAACTAATCTTCCTTCCATTATTACAATCAAGTTGAATTTTCTTCTTGGTGGTTTTGGTAGCCTGACAGCAGGTGCAGTCATGTGCCTTCATTTTTGGGAAGTTGGGATGTCTGTCAAAACAATATAATACCATTTGTTATTTGATTTTAATATGAACAAAATAATGACAGTCAAACATTAAAGTATAAATTCTTGCAATCTGGATATCCATTACTCGGTCTGACGGTCTAACATGTACGACCATTACATAAATACTTCATATCTCTGTGGTCCTTACCAACTTCTCACCTAGGCTGAAGCAGCCTTTTATATTACCAAAATGTGCAGCATACTCATTTGGGTTGATTTATTAAATGAGAATGTTCACTTTGCAAAGTATATTTTCACTTTGAAAGTGAATTTACATTAAGCTTAGTAAATGATGTAAAGCAGTGCTGTCCTCAATTATTCAATCCTGTGCAAGCAAATATGTTGTTTCTTAAAGGAGAACTATGAGGTGAGTGCTTTTCACTCACCTCATAGTTCTAGCCGAACTGTGACAATGAGACTGTCACAGGTCGGCTTAGTAGATCGGGAGGTGAGCGAACACATAGCGGTGTTCGCTCACCTCTCGATCCTGTCGCGGCTCTCTGCCGTGACAGGGGGGGGGCTAGATTCCCCTCTCCCCATTTCCGATCCGCCAGCGCTGACTGGCGGAACGGACTCCTTCACAGATACTGAGCACTAAAATACAAAAAAAAGTAACACTATTATTTTTATACTGTTTACAAGAGAAAATACCAATGATTAGCATACTGTGCATTTATGAAACATTGCTTTATTCAGGTAACAAGAGAACTATGGGGTAACCTTTTTTCCCATAGTTCTCTTTAGGGTCACGGGAGGACATATACCAACATCCTCCTGTGACCCAAAACTTAGTATATGGCGGGCTATTGCCCACTATATGCTGAGAGTGCCGCAGCTGGGATGGATCTCAACAATACTGTCAAGATCCACTCCGCTGGCTGATTGACAGCAGGCTCTGCCTGTCTAGAGGAAGAGCCAGCTCTTCCTTCCCCCTCCCTTGTCCATCCCCCCAGTCAGTGCTGGAGGATCGGAGCGGGGAGGGCAGGAATCTCTGTGGAGAGCAGTGACTGACAGTCACTGCTCTCTGCAGGGAGATGATTGGGAATTGAGCAAGTGGTGGGGTGTTTTTGCTAATTTCCCGATCAATAGAGCTGATATGCGACAGTTTCAATGTCACCCCTCAGCTCGATTGGCGGTGACGGACAACATCGCAGGGAGTGATGCTGGATCCGCACTACTGCGCAGGTGCTTGCTGTTGGGTGCAACTAGACCTCCCTGATGCCGGAACACCTCTGACATAACTGCTGGGGTGTGTTTACCAGCATCAGCGGATATATAGGGTGGCCTCCCCAGTTTGGCTTGGTCATGCTACAATTGGGAAATGTTGTTGCAGGGGACACATCATAGGCAGAGGCTGACTATACCCCAACCTTACCAGGTAATCCACTTAATGGCATGGATTGGATATTTGCTATTGGGATAATTCTGGGGATATTTGACCAAAAATAGCCTTGTTATATTTTTCAATGCTACAAACAGGATTGAATACCCTTTATGGCCGGTGTAGGGGATTGATCCAAACTGCTGTTGACAACTTATTTGGAAGGGTTAAAGTTTATTGACAATATGGGGTCCACCTGGCTATCCCAATATTATAAAAGCGTCCTAAATAGGTAAGTAAGTGAGGTTTTTAATAGCTGATCGTAGCCACATTTTGAACATTGCCATTACCATAGATTGTATATTATTCATTTACATTATTTTGGTTAGGTCATGTCATATGTGCCGGCCCACCTGTTTTTGATGCATGGGTCCCCGTTTCTATGATGTCTATTGATGTATCTATGACAGTTTTTGAGCCATTATGCATGTATACATGTTGATGATATTGAAGAATACTAATTGTAAAATTAGGTGATGACAATTTTCATATCTTTATTCTTTATTGATTGAGATCATCCTTTTATATCTGTAGCTCATGCCCATTTATGCTCCTGAGGAAGCGGTGCTTACCGCAAAACACACAGAGCAAGTTTTACATACCCCTCTGCATAATACCTAACATTTTGTACTTTCAATTGAACCTCTATGGTCTACACACCAATATAAGATTATGGTATACAGTTTATGGAGGGGATGCATGCTTGATAGGCATAGGCTCCGTTGTAGATGTGGAGATTCAAAATGTTAACATTTGTCTTTTATTAATATGTTTACCTAATAAAAAAATGTTTTTATATATCATTAAGTCTGCATTTGTGCCTTCTTTCACTGTATAATTTAGGATGTGGCACAACTGCACCCTCCTACATTGTACAGTGTTTAAATAATGAAGATACACAAACATGTAAACCTGAACTCCAGGATAGTCAAATATTTGCTAAGTAAAAGAGGCATGTACAATACATTCTCACTTGAATCTTGAGGCTTCATGTATAAAAGTTCCACCCAGCTGCTGCTTTTCGCACAGCACTTGCACCCCTGGAAGCTGACAAGTATAGGGGTGTGCTTTGTGCATTTCTTCCAGATCTGTGCAGTAATCCAACTTACAACTGTTCAGGAGCTTCCTGTAATAAGGACCAGTTACTGCTGCTCTCCCTCCTTGTGGAGGGTAACTGTTCTTGTCTCTGCCCTCTCCTGTAGTTGTCTGTAGGTGGTATGTAGTAGGTTGGGCTAGCTGGCTCACTCTCAGAGCTCTGCTCTCTGCGCAGGCTATGTAGAGCAAAGTGATGATGGCATTGCTACTTTAAGATGAAAATGTCCGAGCTTGCAAAGTCATTTGGTGCTCACAAAGTGGGTTTATATAATTTGTGGTTAATAATAAACATATTTTAATGATTGTCATGTTTGTGTCTGGAGTTCAGCTTTAAATAGTAAGTCCAAGTGGTTGGTGTCAAAATGTTCTTATTTCTGCAATTTATGACTTACTGACCAGCAAGGAGATTACAGGATTAGGATAAAAGAAGCCCACTCTACCAATGGTTTAGATGTCCTGAATTCATTTTTTATCAAGAATATCCAAGGTAAGAAAATAGTGTATTTTGCAGTTTGTTTTTGTTTTTTAGATTACCAACTATTCATCAAAGCTAATATTGCTAATTTAAAATAAAAGAGGAATGATGCAGGAGTTAGTGCATGTGTCAATGGGTTTTGAGCTTGTTTCAATGGCATGAGTTTGAGATGCTTATGAGATCATTCAGAATTCATTGACAGGTGCATTTGATCTGCAGTTAAACTCCTGCTGACCTGCTTCAAGTGGATTTTGCATGCTTATAGACCTGTATACGTATGCAAAACCAACTGGAAGGGAACAAAAGACCATCAAAACAAGTCCTTGGGATGCTGCTTCTATTGAAGAAGGTACATGCAAGTATAGTACAGCCAGGTGCTGAAACTTGCCTAAATAGAAGTGCACCCTAGTTCCTGCACCATTTCTCCTTCAGTTTTCATTTATTCTAGCAGTATACACCATGTTGCAGGAAATATAGTAGAACAAAACTGGATTTTCTTGATGAAATAAACAGTAAAACACTCCTGAACCATTAATGTGGTGTTCTTATTTCATAGTAACCTCTGGACCTTACGCCCTTTGAGCTAAAGGGATGCCTAATCAGAGTAATTGAATTCCACAGTATAGACTATAGCACCTCCTGTCCTTACTCTTATAGCTCTACTTCTTGTACCTTACTTAAAAGGACATGTCCGTACCTAGAAATAGAACTGCAGTAACCTCCACAGTTAGTAAGAGTCACATTGGCCCTACAACCACCACTTTCAATGAGTTTCCATGATGTCATTACATCACACTTGCCTGTATAAAGAAAAAGAAAAAAAACTTATTACACAATATGCTTTCAACAGACACTATCCATGAATTGCATCATTTTTATATATATTTTTCATGTTTGAGTCCAGACAGTTTTCTTTGCCTTTAAAGGGAGCTTGCAAGGATACAAATATTGGAGCAGCCATTGCTAACTTGTTTTTAAAGGCTTACTTTTAGTTTGAATGAGCTAAATACATTCCAGGTGCATCGAAGAAATGCATGCCAAGCCTTGCAGCTCATTTTCTTTTAAACAAACTGCCACAGCTGAGAAGAAAAGCCTGTCCCTTGCCAGCAGCTGCAGAGAAGGACCCTTTCCCCCTGCTGAGTTGGAGCTAGATCTCACCAATAAGCAAGGAGTGTAACATTTGCTGATTGAAGTGTTAAAGAGCTGACTCAGCAAGAAGTGTGTTGAAGCTCAGCAGAGAGACCATTGCTTCCACATAGTGATCAAGGATCTTTCTTTGTAGCTACTGGCAGGGGACAGGCTTTCCTATTCAGCTGTGGCTGTTTTTTTAAAGAAAATGAATTGTAAGACTGTGCATACATTTGTTTTTATGCACCTCGAAAGTATTTAGTTCATTCAAACTGAAAGTGTACCTTAAACAAAAAGTCAGCAATGGGTCATATTTGCATTCTCACATCCTCCCTGTATTTCCACTTTTGCATGAAAAATTGAAAAAAACATTTTATGCGTTTGTTATGTGTTACTATTAACACAGAATATCTATTTTTTTTCTTTTCTACCGCTTACCTTTCAGATATGTCTATTAAGCAGGCCTTTGCTTTCAGTAACAGGAAACTCTGACTGTCCTAATAGAAAGACTAAGGGGTCTATTCACTAAGCTGCCGTAGGCAGCCGAGTGAATGACCGACCTGAAGTGAAGTGAGCCGAACACTGTTCGGCTATTCACTTCAGGCTGGTACGGCTGATTTCAGCCGTATATCGGCTGAAATCAGCCGTACATCGGCGTGCTTCGCATGGCTTTGGGTCGGCCGAACATTTGGATCGGCTGAGCAGAACCTCCGGCAGGCTACTCGCTGCTGTTCGGTCTATTCTTATATGCCGAATAGGGATGGGCTGCACGTTCGAGTCGAACCTATGTTCGACTCGAACATAGCATGTTCTAGCGTTCGCCGAACATTATGGGATGTCCGCGGCCTGTTCGACGCGGGACATCCCACAATGCACTGCGCCGTCCGAAACGGTAATTGGCTACAGTCTTGCACCTGACCGCAGGTCAGGTGCAAGACTGTGCCAGTCAGGGCTCAGTACAAACATAGCGGAGCTTGCAGTGACAAGACTTTGCACACCTTTTGTTATGATACACCATGCATGCATTTAGCTAATATAGACTGAAAGTTCAGTAGGGGTTTATTACTATTAAAGTTCTTTATTTCTTGTGGAATGATCATCTCAATTTCCAATCACTGAAGCATCAGCCTGATGCTAGGTTCTTTCAATGTTCCTTCCAGTATACTTTACTTATTTGTATAATGCTGGTTCTTTTTTACAGAACTATTTTTTCCATATCTTTGGAGCTCATGATCTTGGCATACACGTAGAACTGGGTTAGGCATTAATGTTTAACTTGGCCTGCTATGCTGTCCATACATGTGTTTCTAGACTTTTAGGAAACTAAGCAGTAGAATTACAACAGTAGAGACTCAACATTAACTTACGTGGCTCACAGAACTGGATTGTACAACATCCATCAGTGCTTGTAAAATTAACCAATATACCCTGTGCAAATACCAAAAAATATAAGGTAATCAAACATAGTTATCAGTAACGCAAGCTAAAATCTAAATAATGCATGATATTTTTTTAACCAAGGAAAAAAAATAAAATATACCATAAGCAGGCTTTGAATTTTTAAGGGGAATGGGTCGTATAAATTATTTGCGCGCACACACACACACACACACACACACACACACGTGCACACAATAATACAACTATAAACTACCAACATAGCACTTGCATCACAGACATCAACTAGCAATACCTGTAATCTGTGACACAAGCAGTATAGAATCATCAGCGAATTCAGTGCCAGGCGATTCGATTTTAACAAATCTTGTGTGTGAGGCAAATTTCATAGCACCCTACACACACTAAAATACCCGGGTTAGGACAAGATCAGGTTGGAATGCATCAATAGTACTAGCAGAGATTTGGAAAACAGGGCACTAACTTGCCATCATAAAATAGGCATTTGATACATTTCATTAAGGCAAGGCAGCTAATGGAATACATAATCAAAACGGCATTTAGTAGAGACTGTTATATATCTCTGTTGTAAATATCTGAGCAGAACAGTTAAAAGAATGCACATTTCAGTCCGGGTGTTGTTTTTTTCACTGTAATATCCAAAATTGATATCATATTCCATAAATCCTGGCATGATAACATCATATTCACACCAAGCATCTATCCAAATGTATAAGAACATTTTGATCAGTTAGATGGCAGACACCCCTACATTATGAGGTGCAGAAAGCTGATTAGACGGATTAGCCATTTTAAGTAAGCCATATATAGGAGGTATATCATGTTTAGTCTCTTAGTATGAAATTACTTTTTATTTTTAGTCCCATTTATTTTGCTGCTGCATGCTGATTATTTTTGCAGTAACTTTTTCTGTAAACATTTCTTCTTGCAGCATTTTTCTATTGTTTCTTTAATCATCACTACCGGCATGTTACACCCCCTTCATTACTAGGTAAATTTTCAGTTTTGCCACTGTGCAAGTTTAGCTGAGATTTCTTCTGTCATACAACACTCTAACAAAATTATTTTTAAATCATTTTTTTATTGGGGCAAATAGAGCTTTTTTTAGTGGTATTTATAAACTGCTTTTTTATATAAAGTACAAAAGACCAACATTTTGAAACAAAAGCCTGTTGCTCTTACTTTTATTTATAAACCGTAGCAAATAAAATGTCAGAACAGAATGAAAATCCACCAAATGACCCTTTTTGGAAAATTGACACTCCAAGGTCTGATCTGATTTGTTTTGCCGCAATTTTGGGGAAATTTAGAAACATGCCGGTATTGAGGGGTTGAAACATGGTGCTTGGTAGCTGTTCTCTCTCTACTTTTCCTTATTCCCCCATATGCGCTCTTTTTTCCTAATTTCTTCCCCCTTATTCTCTTTACATTCATTACTTTTTCTGACTTTTTTCCTTTTCTCTTGTATTTTTTCTGTTCTTTGCATCATACATTTTGACTTGTTAGGCTCTTCCCTTCATTTTGATAATGTTTATTCTAACCAAGGTCCATGCTTTGGCACACTTCATGTGTTGTTCTTGTACAAAACATTCATGAAGAGTAGTTTCTTGCAATGCTTTTTCCAGGTTTACCTGCTGGTGATTCATGGATAATGTCTTTGATGTATGTTTCTACATAATGTGCCTAGATGTTGGTTGTGTATGCCTGTTTTGCTTATATTGTTACTATTTACTACTTTTCAATAAATATGTAATCTTTAAAAAAAAATATGGAGCTTTGTAATAGTGCACAAGATACAATAAATATACAGGTCATAGACAGAGGGTGAAGGGGTTAATGTAAAGGTCACATACAGTGTGAGGATTGAGATGTAGGGGTTAATGTACAGATGTATGGGATAAGGGAGATGAAGGGGTTAACACACACACGTCAGAGTAGAGATCGAATAGAGCTCATATATAGTATATAGGAGGGGAGGGAGGGTTAAAAAATGTAATTTACTTTTTTGGTGCTGCTGCAGCTTATTTTTACTCTAGGGTACAATGAATGGATGACCCATCCATCCATTACTTCCTTTACTCTCCCCTGCCTCTGATGTAAGAGGAAGGGGAGGGCTTGGCAATGTAAACATTACCATGTGATTGCTGTGATAACCAATCACAGGTCAGCTAACCAATCTCAGGAATCACAGGACACAGAGTCTGTCTGATCAGATCTATGTCTAAAGCTGCTGTTTTCTGCTGTCTAGTGAAGTGTGCAGACACATGTTCAAGGGAGGATGTACAGGTACATCCCCCTGGAACAATGTGCCAGTGGACAGGCCATTTCAATACAGTGGCTGGCCTCACAAGCAGTTAAAGAAGAACTCCAGGGAAAAAAATTATTAACCCTTGCAGTCGGGCTACCCCAGGTCCAAAAATAAAAAGTTATATTCACCCAAAGCTTCCTCCAGCCTGTCACCTCCTCCACTGCAGAACTGGAAACTTCCTCAGCTTTCTCACATCTATACACTGCACATATAGAACTTGATGATTTATGAGACTTTAACCCGCTGCAGAGGAGGGGGAGAGAGACTAGAAGTATCTGTCTAAGAACAAGCTGGCTCTGCGGTTTAGGTGAGTATAACGTTTTTTAACCTGAACAAAAAGGCTGGGAGTACCATCATCACAGTCTGACGGCAACAGTGGATTTTGAGACTGCTACT